TAGAATATCTTGATGAATGGAGGATATGGTTTCAATACTCACATCTCTTCTGTTGCTTGGCTCTGATCGTCTGGTCATTGATCCTGTAGAAATGAACACAACCCTTTCTTTGAGTGAGCTTCCGAGTCCTGACTGATCTCATGCTTTACATCCCATCATATCTTCTCTGCAAACACTACGACTGACTGCCACAGCTCTCAGCTAACAGGAAATAACTGCTCATTAGTCTAGAAACAAAACACATGACAGGAGAACCAAGCAGACTCACTCCTCTGTAAAATCCTGTATATCCGTTAAAAAGTTGCTCACCTACTAAAATATGTTGCATTGTAAACTCACATTATAATGTTTGTGGATGTATGAGATAAAATAATGAAAAAACTGTAGTGATTGGTAGGATGATGAGTTGTGCTAAGCTAGGCTACGTCTGGAAGGAAGAACTGGAGGGATTACTCAGTGTGAGAACACATCAACTCCCCAACACAAAACTGCTGAAGCAGCAGAGAGTCGACCCCTTACTGACCTGAGGGTCTGCAGTCTGCAGTCTGGACTCTCCAGAAGATCTCTCAGCAGCTTCACTCCTGAACCCTGCATGTAGTTCTGACTCAGGTCCAGATCTCTCAGATGGGAGGGGTTGGACGTCAGAGCTGAGATCAGAGCAGAACAGCTGATCCCTGACAACTTGCAACCCCTCAGACTGAATAAAGAGAACATGATGTTAGTTTAAACTATTCAGTCAGTATCAGCATCATTGAGCTTCATGGAAATACTGAATATCATCTTTATGTTTGATAGTTTTAATAGAAACATTCACAAGTTTGTCTTTTATATAAATTATTAAGAACACAGGGCTCAACGCTAACTTTTAAAAGTGGTTGCCAGGCAACCAGGCATCAGCTTTTGGTTGCCAAAACTGAAAATACGGTTGCCATTTTTAGTCACCTTTTATTTTAAATAATTAAGATACTATACAGTTATACATCAACTTAATAATGAACATGTGACACAAAAGAATGTTCAAATGCTTTACAATAAGTAATTAACACAATTATTTGAAACTTAAGTGGTAGGAAACTTGTTCACCCTCAATTGCTGGTATACTAAACACCAGGAGTGCTGTTCTTCACAGATCCACAAATGAATTGAGCAAGTCACTAGTTTCTTGGTCATCCGTTGTCTCCCTTTCAAATGTTGGTTTTCTTGACCTCTGTGCGGACCCCCACCATAGATCCACTGGCCCTTCAGCATTGAAGTCTTGACCTCTGTGCTGACCCCCACCATAGATCCACTGGCCCTTCAGCATTGAAGTCTTGACCTCTGTGCTGACCCCCACCATAGATCCACTGGCCCTTCAGCGTTGAAGTCTTGGATTGGCCAGACTAATACATTTCTAATGTTAAATAAATGAAAACCATTCACAGTTAAGAATTAGATATTCATTATTAATGCTGTAAATTACCTTTGATATGTCTAACTATATTTAAAATGTGTTACCTTTTTATTGAAGTGATTATATTTGTATGCCAATATTTTCCTATGATAAAGTTTCGCTTTGCACTTTTAATTTGATAGTAATAAGGTCGGACTCTTATTTTGAAGGAACTTTTACCGGAAGTGAATGCACAACGGAGCAGAATGCACATATTTCGCCTCCCAAGACTTTACACATTTCCTCTTTGCTTTCGTTCGGGGTTCATCTTGCGCTTTATCAGTTGAATCACTTTGAACATTCGTTTGAGATGTTGACGGGTTGGCCGAACTTTTTACCCCACAGTAGGGCTGTCCCGAATACAATTTTTCGGGCTCCGGATATTCGGTAGTAATCAGCAGCGAATATTCGAATATTCGGTGCGGAGAGATTATTATTATTTTTTTAATAAAGTTTTTTTTTCACATTTTTTTCATAACACGCTCCGAGACACCTGACAACACGCTGTTAAGCAGAAGCGCAGAAAGAGAATACTATTACGATTTATATTTATTTATTGTCTCAGTACTCGCATACATTAAAACTAAATGTGTCCTCTGCATTTAATCCAGCCGCAGTGCAGCGCCCGGGGACCAAATCCGGTTCCAAATTCCGTCTATAACGTTTTACAACCTGAAGATACAAAACACATATTTCTGTTATAACAACAATACTTTTAATAACATGGCCGTAACAGTAGGCCTAACAGGGTAACACTTGTTACCGATGCAGTAAACAGTATTTAAATAAATGAAGAACGAAAATAAATGAACGAACTGTATGCCAATAATTGCCTTAGCCCCAGATGTTCCCACATTGCTCCTATTATTTTCACTATTCGGATAAAATTGAAAAACTAATATAAAAAAACAATTCGGTTGCTTGCTTGCAACTATTTTCCAAGCAAAGTAAGAGCACGATTTTATCATGTGTAACGTTACTGTTTAAACGGCGGATAAAGCAGCTTCATCATGGCAACTTGACACTAAGCTAAGCTAGGCTAGTAATAACAGCATCCGGTGACTTTCCAGAGTTGTTGTGCCACCGGCCAGTTTCTTGTCGCATATTTGGTACACTGCCTTCTTCTTACCGTCGTCCAATTTAAAATGGTCCCACACAGCTGAAGTCTTCGGCATTTTGTGTTCAGGTGTGTGAAACGAGGTGAAGCGTGCCGGTGTTACCGTTTAACTGGTTACACCGGGGAACTCGTTACGTTACGTTAACGGTAGGAATGGGGCGTGTACTTTGAGGAGCCATTGTCGAATAACCACGAAATACACATTTCGATCGCTTCTTTTGTTGTTTACATTTATCTTTTGGTATATTTGGCTCCATAGGAACACTTTGATGCACATTCAGTACCAGTGTGTGAGGTTGTGGTTGCGATGCCGATATCCGGACGCGGACAGCGAGGACTACAAAATGACAATGACTGGGGATGTCTGTTCAAAACATTGCCAACGTGAATAAATCATTTCAAATATGTATTTGTCTCCGACTTTCATTTGTACATTGTTGTTAATGTGATGTTTAGTAGCTTTGATAGCTGTCCATACCACCAGACAGCCTAAAAGTAAGACACAAGTTGTTTACTCACAGCCCGAATGCAGCATCGAGATCCGTGGCCAGCTGTGATCCTCTCCGATTAACTTGTGACAGGACTTCTTTAGCTATTCTCCAGCGAGCAAGGTTTTTATTAAATACCTCCAATCCTCTCATCACAACAAGACTCTACACTGTGCAGAAAAAAAACAACATGAATGAAAATAACCTTGCTGGATAGCTTAGAATGAAACAAACAAACTATCTTCCATGGCTGATACTGATGTCACAGTAACGGCTAAACCACAGACAAGTCCAGCGGGGGGGGGGGGCACAAGTTGAATCCATATAATGAAATTGTTATTTTATATATATATATATATATATATATATACATGCTATATATATTTATATTTATTTCTATCCTACATTGTACATCTATCCTACATTGTACATTATATAAACCGGCGGAAGTGTCACACTTTCTTGGTTTGTGATTATAGAGATATAGACAGAGATACTGTAGAGATAGACATAGATAAAGATCGGCTGTGTGTGTGTGTGTGTGTGTGTGTGTGTGTGTGTGTGTGTGTGTGTGTGTGTGTGTGTGTGTGTGTGTGTGTGTGTGTGTGTGTGTGTGTGTGTGTGTGTGTGTGTGTGTGTGTGAGAGAGAGAGAATAGCTGTAGGGCTAACCAAGAGGGGATGGATTCAGGAGTTGTTAAACAACTGATGGATTTTATGATCCACGATATTTATGCTGATGGCTTGAAAAAAAGAAAATTGTTGACAATTATCCTTTATTATCTTGTATGAATATATCTGGTATATTGCTCATTTTCCATAAAAGAAAAACATGTATTTGAGTTTGATGCATACAAATACTGTAGATGATGATTGTTGAAAATGCACTTTTACCATAAAATGCCAGCAAGACCAGTTGGTTGAGGCTCATAAAAACAAAACTGTGTAGACAGTAAAAAAAAAAGTAGTTTGTGTCCCATTTGATAAAAAAATGCAAACAAATACTTTTTCCATAGATTTTTTCTTGGTCTGCCAATTATATGTTTAAGCAATTATGTCTGCCTTCCCCGTCTTGCACCATTAGGACCCACTGATATAAAATGCTTAACTGCCTAAGTTGCAACTATGCACTTTTTGGTGGGCTAAGCGCAAGCTTCACATATTTTTGTCTACATTTAAAGTGCCAAATGTAAGTTTAGATATTATGCAATGCAACGTTTTTCTTGGTCTACATCAGTGTTATAGAAGGAAAGACAACAGTGATAGTTATGTTTCAGAATAACATTTATTGGAAATTGTTGGAAAAATATCACTTTTCACCAGTTTGAGCTTCAACCTCAGGATCCATGTGTCTGTGATCCTCTCCAGAATGGAAGTAGTCATCACATACAGAGCATCAACTAGTTCCTGAACAGTGTCCTTCACATGCTGATATCCAAGAGAGGGAGTTACACAGTCACAAGATGGAGGAATAGAAAGCAGTATTCAATGTTTACTTCAGATTAGCTCCACGTCAGAAATGAGCATGCTTGATGTCAAGCTATCCAGCAAGGTTATTTTCATTCATGTTGTTTTTTTTCTGCACAGTGTAGAGTCTTGTTGTGATGAGAGGAATGGAGGTATTTAATAAAAACCTTGCTCGCTGGAGAATAGCTAAAGAAGTCCTGTCACAAGTTAATCGGAGAGGATCACAGCTGGCCACGGATCTCGATGCTGCATTCGGGCTGTGAGTAAACAACTTGTGTCTTACTTTTAGGCTGTCTGGAGGTATGGACAGCTATCAAAGCTACTAAACATCACATTAACAACGATGTACAAATGAAAGTCGGAGACAAATACATATTTGAAATGATTTATTCACGTTGGCAATGTTTTGAACAGACATCCCCAGTCATTGTCATTGTCATTTTGTAGTCCTCGCTGTACGCGTCCGGATATCGGCATCGCAACCACAACCTCACACACTGGTACTGAATGTGCATCAAAGTGTTCCTATGGAGCCAAATATACCAAAAGATAAATGTAAACAACAAAAGAAGCGATCGAAATGTGTATTTCCTGGTTATTCGACAATGGCTCCTCAAAGTACACGCCCCATTCCTACCGTTAACGTAACGTAACGAGTTCCCCGGTGTAACCAGTTAAACGGTAACACCGTTTGCATTTGTAACTGTGAGTGAACGCGATGTCAGAGGCTGAGATTGTATATATTTCCGCATTTTAACAGTGCAATTCAAAAGTATAAATATAGTATAAGAATATGGTAATTCGCCTTTATTGCTAGCATACATTTAGGAAAAAAAATAAAATATTTGGAAAAAAAATCAAAAAACGAATATCCGAATAATGAAATTGAAACCCGAATAGTTGGCCAACGAACGAATATTCGAATAGTCGAATATTCGGGTACAGCCCTACCCCACAGTCAAACAATTTACTTTGCTTCGCCATTTTTTGTAAAACAAACACACGAGTACCTACGTGAGTAAACTTAAGTATCAGGTTCTGACTGGTCACAACAATAATTAAATATCACTCTTAATACAACAAATATTTAACATTTATCTATTTTGGGGTGCACATTTTGCTGTTTGCTGTCCTTATTTCTTTATGTTAAACACTGGTTGCCACTGATGGCAAACAAAGGCCAAGAAGTGGTTGACGTTTTTTCTGAATGGTTGCCAATGGCAACCTGGCAACCGTTACTGTCGAGCCCTGGAACATGATGGAGAATGTAAGAGGTGTTTAAGAGGTTCAGAGTGAATTATGCAGTGAAGGATTGCTCTTGTTATATTTAAATGTATAGATCAACATGGCTCTGCCACAGTCAGTGAACTAAACAAGAGAAGAAGAAAGTATACTTTAGCATTAAGATACTCAGTGTGGATCAGAGTAATATCAGCCTGATGTCTGCAGCTCAGAGTCAACACAACTCTCTTAATCTCAGCACAGAAGTAAAAGAAGGAGAACTGACCTGAGAGTCTGCAGTCTGCAGTCTGGACTCTCCAGAAGATCTCTCAGCAGCTTCACTCCTGAATCCTGCAGATTGTTGTCACTCAGGTCCAGATGTCTCAGATGGGAGGGGTTGGACTTCAGAGCAGAGACCAGAGCAGCACAGCTGATCTCTGACAACCAGCAGCCCCTCAGTCTGAATAAAGAAAACATGATGTACATTTCAAGGTTTAATAATCTGTTCAGAGCTGAAGAAGGTTTGGATGTCAGAGTCAAGAAAGATATAGATCCAGTGGCGGACAGCCCATAGGGGTGCTTGGGGCGGCGCCCCCCCTCTTCCCACATTAAAAAAAAATATATATATTTAAAAAATATATTTTTTATTTTTATTTTAATAAACAAGGTAAATATTATATAATTGGTATGCACAGCGCCCAGACGAGAGTGCAGCAAGTGCAGCAGAAGCCAACTGTTGCTATCTTTAAACTATGCCGCCAAAACATCAAATCAAATCAAGTTTTATTTATATAGCACATTTATAAACGATTTTTGGTCGAGCCAAAGTGCTGAACATATAATAAAAATAGCCTACAGTAAAGACACTTTACAACAAATACAACAGCACAGATTGTTCAGAATATCAGTATGAGAAAAACGACACCCTCTGTCCTTAGACCCTCTGTCCTTAGAAACATAATTTCAGCCAATCAGCGTCGTCAAATCTGATGGTCACAGGGCGCCTACGTCAGCGCCCGGTGCAGTCTGTGAGTTGTTTGACTCGTATCCAAGGAGACAAAACAGGAAGCTGTCATTCACTCTGGAAGCTATCATTAGCAGCTAATAGGAAAACTCCGTTTTTGACATAAAAATGGAATTATGGATTATCAATACCTTTTTCAAAGTGACAGACACATTGGATTAACCTATGGATTAACCTTCAGCCGCGTTTTTCTCGTTTTTGATCAGATAACAGCAAGAGGTGAGCATATCTCCGTGTTTTGCTACCTAAAGTTACGTTGTGTGATGTCTGTATTTGCTTCCCCTGTCGCGAGTTCTGATCGCTCAGTGATGATACTTATATTTCTAGAATCTGTGGAATCTCAGCTTGTTAGCTAAGCTTGTTTGTGCATATTCAATAAGTATATCGATTGATTTATACCTAGAGTGCGTTAGCATTTTTTCGCTCAGGGCTCATTTAGACGCTTCTTGTGAGACTTGTGTTTTGTTTCGGTAAACATGGTTCATATCATCAGTTAGCTGAGTTTCTTCCTGTTAAATGAGCAGGACACGTGAATAGTTTATTACATTTTAAGAAGCCCTGAGACACAGTTTCGTGAGAAACAAAACGGGGGAAAAAAGCCCTTAACAGGTTAAATGGGAATTAAATCATTTTAAGTCATTTTGTTCCCAAAGCCCTGGTGTTCTGCAGTTTGTGTGGGCCTACTGTACTGTTGCACAGTTTATGTAGAAACTATGTCCAGGACACGGTGTTTGGACATTTTGGAAGATTCATAGCTAACCACACTGAAGATTATGGAGGTATTGATCAGTCTTCTCATATTTTTAAGCCTCAATTTGTCCTTTCCACCCCCCCCCAAACTAAACGCTTGCACTCAGATATATTGCTGCTTACAGATTTCCTGTGTTCCAGCTTAAAGCCTTCTCCTCGCACTCAGGCTGTTTCTGTGCGCTCGTGAAATGTCTGCTCTCAGATTTCTTCTGTGCGTGCTCGGATCATTTGTGCAACAACCCTGTGAAAATCCTTCAACCAATAGGAGGCTAGGTGTCCTTGCGGGTGCGTTCGCTTTACTTATTAGAGCGTCCCGTAAGGGCGGTTACTCTTTGGTTTATAAACTACCGCCCTCCACGGCTTTATAACATAACATGTACTTCACTTTTTTAATTTACAACTTTTTGGGGGAGGGAAAGCAAAGTTAGTATATATATATACCAGCACCTTACATAATAGCTACGTTCAGTGGCGGACTGGTACTAAAAATCAGCCCGGGAATAAAATAAAAATAGTCCCTCCGTTGCATTCTGCAAAAAACATAGTGCGAGGTGGTTGCTATGCAACAACAACAGCTAGCGAACATATTAGACAGACAGCATTGTCGTCGTTTAGGTTCTTTATTTTTCTGGAGATATGCACTTCTCAATCCACTCCATAGTGAGGCCACCCCGGAGATCGAAGTTAACTTTAAATGTTCCCATGTTAAGCTTTGTTTCGTAACGGACGTAATGTAACAGTTGTACGGTTGTAGCTTTTCTCAGACGCGGATGGATACTGTCTAAGGACAGAGGGTCTAAGGACAGAGGGTCTAAGGACAGAGGGTCTAAGGACAGAGGGTGTCGTTTTTTCTCATACTGATATTCTGAACAATCTGTGCTATTGTATTTGCTGTAAAGTGTCTCTACTGTAGGCTATTTTTATTTTATGTACAGCACTTTGGCTCCACCAAAAATCGTTTATAAATGTGCTATATAAATAAAACTTGATTTGATTTGACTTGTGAAAAGTAACTACAATTATACCCGGGATATACGCTCATTATATCACGGCTAAGAAACATCAGATTGCTTGATTTGATTTGTCCGTTTGATTTTATTTGAGCACAGTGTGAGTCTGTGGAAGCTCAAAGACTGTCCGTCACACATTCACCCTCTCTTTGTTATTCTGATAAATACTCAACCATTTGGAAAAACAGAATACAAATGTTTTTGAACTTCTTTGTTCTCAGGCTAATTCTTAGACAATTATAAATAAAAAATACAATGAACTGACCTGAGAGTCTCCAGTCTGCAGTCTGGACTCTCCAGAAGATCACTCAGGAGCTCCACTCCTGAACCCTTCAGATGGTTGTCACCCAGGTCCAGGTCTCTCAAATGGGAGGGGCTGGACTTCAGAGCTGAGACCAGAGAAGCACAGCTGATCTCTGACAACCAGCATTTCCTCAGACTGAATAAAGAAAACATGATGTAAGTTTAAACTATTCAGTCAGTATCAGCATCATGGAGCTTCATAAAATGTTTGGAAAAGGAAAATACTGAATATAATCTTTATTGTTTGATAGTTTTAATAGAAACATTTATTAATTTGTCTTTTATATAATTAAAATAAAAACATGATGGAGACTGTAAGATGAATTTCAGGTGTTTAACCAGTTAAGCCCTGAGCCAGGTCTCAGGCTCGATTTGACATTCCCAGAACAAATGACCATATCTTCTAAAAGGGTTAAATTAATAATCTTTTTTCTCAAAGCAATGATAAACCTGTGAGTTGGATGTAGAAAAGTCAGAATCAATATAGATGTTTTTTATTTTAAAGTAAATTCAGATTGAACATGGAAAAAAACTGTAAATTATAGTGTCCGTCCAAAAATTCTTTTTTTACTTATAGTGAAAACTAACCTTGGATGATGGGTTAGTAGACTAAAAGCTTTAGGAATCCAAAGCACAACATATAATAAGTACCCTGTATCACGACTGATGCAAAACAAGTGACATGTTACCTTTTTAGAGAGGTTTAGAAAAAGAAACTCCACCTCTGAGGTGATTTGGGTGGAAATGGGGGTTTTACCGTTTCTCTGGAACCCATTGGTCGATTTTGGTGATTGACATCTCTTTCTGACCGTTGGAGCCAATAGAATCGAAGGGGAATCTCCCCACTCACACACAGTCTAAAACAAAAAAGTGTGGGCTTCGCGTACACAGTTTTGCACCAGAGTGAAGCTGTCTCTAGGTCTGACTTCTAGAAACGGAAAAGCAGGTTTATTGCTTATGGATTATCAGAAATCATTCAAAGGGACACAGACACATTGGATTAACCTATGGATTAACTTCAGCAGCGTTTTTATCGTTGTAATACCATTGAAGACCACTTTTGACCAGACTACCACACAGGTGAGCCATGTTAGCGTTTTTAGCTACCTAGCGCTATATGTTTTGATGTATGTTCTTGTTATGATCTCTGCGAATTCTTATCATTGAGTGATAATGAGGGTACCCCTCGATTCTGTGTCCCCTCACGATGTGAAACGATGGGTTGGATGTGCAGCAAAGATACATAATAAGGTTTTGTGAGTGAATTTCGGTGCAGTCATCTGTTAGCATTTTTCGCTCGTTGCTAATTCAGAGGCTCAGCGTTAGCATTGTGGGGTTTTAAAAATGTTTTTTTTAAATTATCAGTTAGATGAGTTTCTTCCCGTTACATGGATATAAAACATTCATAGTTTATTAAATGAACATGCCTTCAGACACTGTTTCCTGCAAGATGTTGCCGCAGTGTCCCGGTACCGGGGTCTCTCGGGCTTAACAGGTTAAGGTCGCATTTACACTTATAGTCGCTTCTCTGGTGAACACCAGACAACTTGTTACATTGTTTCATTTTTCAGAAGGTTTGGTTTGCGTTCACACGGCAAAACTCAAACGGATTATAAACTTTAAACACAAGTCATGTGCACGGAAATGCTGTTCAACCATTGGTCAGACATTAAGGGGCTACAAACGCAAATCCCGGCAATTTCTACCGGAGCCTCCGCCATGGAGCATCGGCACTTCCAGCAGGTTATTCTCATGCTGCTGTTAATCTGGAGATCAACAGACTCTAACACATATAATGAGAGACGTTCAGCAGTAAGGAGGAGGTTTCACCGACGACAGGTGGCTCTGACTTTTATTTATAGTTGACAGAGCTTTTTTACTTTACACGACACTGTCCAACACTTAATTCTGCTTCACTCTTTTGCTAAAGATTTTGAAGACATCCACGTTCTTCATAAATACTACGCATCCTATGTTTTTGTGCGGACTGCGTTCACACCAGAGATGAACCGCTCCAGAGTTCACTTGCAAGTGGTCCGAGACCACCTATTTTAGCGGACCAGTCCGGTTGTTTAGTTCAGTGGTTCTCAAACCTTTTTCAATAATGTACCCCCTTTGAAAAAGATATTCCGCCAAGTACCCCCTGATCAGCGCAAAAACTATTTGTTAGGGGGAAAATGCCTATATAAAGAGGTACAGTACAGCGCTGCACCATCAGTGTCTGATTTATTAAAACAACAACCTTGTAACTGAGAAACACTTAAATGCTACTTTTCAAATGTTTCCACCAACAATGTGGAATTTATTGGCTACATATTATACAGATTATGCACAGCGGGAGCAGCAATAACCGTCAAATAATAATTCAGACAGGGGAGCTCCGCACCCCCTGCCTGCCGCTAGGGGGTGCTGCAGCGCCCTCAGCACCCCCCCCCCCCCCCCCATGGTGACCCATGGTCAACACAGCCGCCACTGAAGAGGAGGAGCCAAATTAGATATATAGTCAGGTGACAGAGCTTTGTGGAGTCTCTTCTGCACGGCCGCGACTGCGAGAGGGAGCTGCAGCTTCCCTCTCTCTCTCTGAACCATCTTCTGCTTGTAACATTACCGCGCCATTTTAATTAAAGTACCCATTTGAACCTTATGCGAGAGACTCTATTGGTCTCATTTATCCTAAGCTTCTCTCCATGGACGCGAGAATAACGAATACTCTAATGGTTGCTAAACCTCTCTCACTTGTTTTGCATCAATCTTGGGGTACTTATTATATGGTATAGTTTGGATTCCTAAAGCTTTTAGTCTACTATCCCATCATTCAAGGGTGGTTTTCACTTTAAGTAATGTTTTATTTTTGGACGGACACTACAATTTCATTTGTTTTACTATGTTCAATCTGAATTTACTTTACAATAAAACAATGATATATTGATTTCTTCATCCAACTCACAGGTTTATTCTTGCTTTGAGAAAAAAGATTATTAATGTACTCCTTTTAGAAGTGAAGTTATAGTCATTTGTTCTGGGAATGTCATTTTTGAGCCAGAGGCCTGAGAAACAGGCTTGGGGCTTAACAGGTTAAGAGTCAATTATGCAGTGAAGGATTTTTCTTGTTGTATTTACATTTAAATAGCAGCATGGCTCTGCCACAGTCAGTGAAATACACCACAGAACAAGAAAGCAGACTTTAGCATTAAGATACTCAGTGTGGATCACAGTAATATCAGCCTGATGACTGCAGCTCAGAGTCAACACAACTCTAGAGAAGGAGAACTGACCTGAGAGTCTCCAGTCTGCAGTCTGGACTCTCCAGAAGATCTCTCAGCAGCTCCACTCCTGAATCCTGCAGATCGTTGTAACTCAGGTCCAGATCCCTCATATGGGAGGGGTTGGACTTCAGAGCTGAGACCAGAGCAGCACAGCTGATCTTTGACAACCTGCAGCTCCTCAGTCTGAATCAAGAAAATATGATGTAAGTTTCAAGGTTTAATAATCTCTTCAGAGCTGAAGAAGGTTTGGATGTCAGAGAGTTGCATGATAATCCAAGGTTTAACTATATGGGCGGTGCTGGCGAAGTCTATAGGGACTTGGTTTAAGAACTGGAATGTCACCGGTTCAATTACCCAAAATACCTAGTGCTACCGAGGTGTCCCTGAGCAAGGCACCATTCCCTACACTGCTCCCCGGGCGCAGTGCATTATGGCAGCCTACTGCTCCTAACACTGGGATGGGTCGAATGCAGAATGTAAATGTCCCCTCTGTGGTTCGATTAAGGGTTCCTTCTTCTCTTCTTCTATACTCTATGAAGTACAGTCAGTGAACTGACCTGAGAGACTGCAGTCTGCAGTTTGGACTCTTTAGTCCAGAACTCAGCAGCTTCACTCCTGAATCCTGCAGAACGTTCTCACTCAGGTCCAGATCTCTCAGATGGGAGGGGTCAGACTTCAGAGCTGAGGCCAGAGCAGCACAGCTGATCTCTGAGAGTCCAAAGCCAGTAAAACTGTCATGACAGATATAACAGTGAGTTATTTACAAAAATATGTAACATCATATTAACTTCATGCATTTGATTAACATATTAGACCCACCAGGTTCTGATTAACATTCACTGTTAGTCCACTTAATATATTATTGAGTTTTTTATGTTCATTTTCAGCCTCACAGATCTTACTTTAAACTCTTGAGCATTGTGGTAAAACAGATCGGGTATAATGATGACGAAACTACAATACTGCTATAATAACTTAAATGCATTCACTGTAACTGTAAAATACTGCTGTTGTGATCAAATGCTGCTTTGATAAAACCCCAACCAAAACCTCTTAAGTGCTCCATTTGATGACATAACCAAAAGGAATAGGAAGAAAATAAAAAACGGAAACGTTTAAATAGTAATAAACAAAATAACATTCAATTTATTTTGCTCTCACAGTTTGTGTTTATTTAAAGAAGTAAACTTCTGATCTACACTCATTTATGAAGTTAATCACATGTGGACATACTTGGCCTTTCTGAAGTTCCTCACAGTTGGAATCAGTCTCAGTCGTCCCTCCTCTGATGTGTTGTACTTCTTCAGGTCCAACTCATCCAGAACCTCCTCTGACATCTGCAGCATGTGAGCCAGAGCAGAGCAGTGGATCTCAGTGAGTTCCTTCTCTGATCTGTTCCCTGACTTCATGAACTCTGTGATCTCCTGATGTACTGAGTGGTCCTTCATCTCTGTCAGACAGTGGAAGATGTTGATGCTCCTGTCCGGAGAGATTTCATCACTGCTCATCTCCTTCAGGTTCTTGATGGCTCTTTGGATGATTTCCGGACGGTTGTCTGTGCGACCCAGCTGGCCTCTGAATAGTCTCTGGATAATATCTGGACGCTTGTCTGTGGGACCCAGCAGGCCTCCTAAGAGACTCTGGTTGGACTCCAGTGAGAGGCCGTGGAGAAAGCGGACAAACAGGTCCAGGTGACCATTTCTACTTCTAAGGGATTTCTGCATGGCTCTCTTCAGGAAGACATCCAGGGATGGGTACTCCTGATCTCTCTTCAGGAAGTCCTTCAGTACCGCTGTGTCTCTGTTGGTGTAACAGTGCAACATGTAGACTGCAGCCAGAAACTCCTGAATGCTCAGATGAACAAAGCAGTAGACTGTTTTCTGGAAGATCACACTCTCTCTTTTGAAGATCTCTGTACAAACTCCTGAGTGCACCAAGGCCTCGGTGACACCAAGACCACAGCGCTGCAGGTCTTCTTGGTAGAACATGATGTGTCCTTTCTCCAGATGTTCAAACGCCAGCCTCCCCAGCTTCAGAAGAAGCTCCCTGTCAGCCTTCGTCAGCTGCTGTGGACTCGTCTCATGTCCCTCTTCATACTTCTGCTTCTTCCTTTTGGTCTGGACCAGCAGGAAGTGTGAGTACATGTCAGTGAGGGTCTGGGGCAGCTCTCCTCTCTGGTCTGTAGTCAACATGTGGTCCAGAACTGCAGCAGTGATCCAGCAGAAGACTGGGATCAGACACATGATGTGGAGGCTCCTGGAGCTCTTGATGTGAGAGATGATTCTGCTGGACAGGTCTTCATCACTCGATCTCCTCCTGAAGTACTCCTCCTTCTGGGCGTCAGTGAAGCCTCGTACTTCCGTTACCCTGTCCACACACTCAGGAGGGATCTGATTGGCCGCTGCAGGTCGGGAAGTTATCCAGACGAGAGCCGAGGGAAGCAGCTTCCCCCTGATGAGGTTTGTCAGCAGCACGTTGACTGAGGACTGCTGTGAGACATCAGACACAACCTCATCGTGTCTGAAGTCCAGAGAAAGTCTGCTTTCATCCAGGCCGTCAAAGATGAGCAGCACTTTGCAGACAGCCAGCTGCTCTGCTGTGACCTTCTGTAAGGTTGGATGGAAAACATGGAGCAGCCTGAGAAGACTGTACTGCTCAGCTTTGATCAGGTTCAGCTCCCTGAAGGAGAGCGGGATCACCAGACTGACATCTTGGTTTCCCAAACCCTCGGCCCAGTCCAGAGTGAACTTCTGCACTGAGAAGGTTTTTCCAACTCCAGCGACTCCGTTGGTCAGGACCGCTCTGATGGGAGTCTGTTGGTCAGGTAAGGCTTTAAAGATGTCCTGGCACTTGATTGGAGTTTCATGGAGGGTCTTCTTCTTGGAAGCTGTCTCCAGCTGCCTCACCTCATGTTGGGTATTAACCTCTTCACTCTGGCCTTGTGTGATATAGAGCTCAGTGTAGATGCTGTTGAGGAGGGTTTCACTTGTATCAGTTCCTTCAGTCACACGTTCACATCTACTCCTCAGACTGAGCTTATGTTCATCCAAAATGCCCTGCAGACCACGTTCTGCTGGAAGAGAGGAACACGAATAGATTAATGCAAGTGGTTCAAAATCACAAAACAATTATCAGGATTAATTATTTCTCAGAAATGAAAACACCAACAGACAGATGTTGAGACTTACTTTGTATAATGCTGGATCCATCTCCACACTGGGGACAGGAGAGGTCTCCTGATGGAGTTGGCTGCTCCCAGTATGAGGTGATGCACTGTCTGCAGAACCAGTGTCCACAGCTGGTAGAGACTGGATCCTTCAGGATGTCCTGACACAGAGCACAGCTGGACAGCTGCTCCTCCACAGGAACAGGACGATTCCTCTTCTCTCTGTGACGATAAACACAATCTTTATGACAGTTTACATTACTGGTGGAGGATTTCACCAATCGTTCTAGTTTGATACAATAAAAGGCCTTTATGAATAGGGGTTTCAAAGGCACTCCCAGGCCAGCGTGGGTCCCTCCCCATGACTGACCTCTCCTTATACCTAAGGGAAATGCCTTCCACCCTCGTGAGAAAACCTATGTTGGCAGCTTATATTAACAATATCATTCATTCGATCATAACCCCCCTTTATGACCATAGGTGAGGGTAGGATGAAGATGGACCGGTAGATGGAGAGCTTTGCCTCCTTGCTTTCGCTTTAACCTTGTCAAAGTTCCCACTCATTCCCTACTCGGAGTGGACAGTCCATCGGTTTCCTGCTAAGAACCATGGCCTCAGATTTAAAGGTGCTGGTCTTCATCCCAGCAGGTTCACACTTGTCTGCAAACCGATCCAGTGAGAGCTGAAGGTCGCAGACCGTTAACGCCATCAGAACCACATCATCTGCAAAAAGCAGTGATGCAATCCTTGGCTCAATGAACTGCAGACCCCCTTCCCCCACGACTACGCCTTGAGATCCTGGGCATGAATATCACAAACAGGATTGGTGACAGAGCGCAGCGCTGGTGGAGGCCAACCCTCCAAGGAAATAAGTCCAACTTACTGCCGGGGACCTCAAAACAGCTCTCACTTTGGGAGTACAGAGATTGGATGGCCCCCATTAGTGACCCCTTCACCCCATACTCCCACAGCACCTCCCACAGTATCTTCCTGGGAACCCGGTCACACACCTTCTCCAAATCCACAAAACACATGTAGACGGGATAAGCGTACACCCAGGACCCTTCCAGAATCCTTGCGAGACTAAAAAGTTGGTCCGTCGTTCCACGACCAGGACGGAATCCGCATTGTTCCTCCTCAATCTGTGGTTCGACTATCAACAGGACCCTCCTTTGCAGCAGTTTAGAGTGAACTATCCTGCGGAAGCTGAGTAATATGATGCCTCTATAGTTGGCACCGACCCTCAGCATGATCCCCCTTTTTGAAAGGGGGAACCGCCACCCCGTCCTGCCACTCCTTAGGTACTGCCCCCGACTTCCAGGTAATGTTGATGAGACGTGTCAACCATGACAGTCCCTCAACACCCAGAGCCATTCATATTTCTAGACGGATCTCTTCAACCCCAAGGGCTTTGCCACCTTGGAGTTCTTTATATTAGTGACCTTGTCCTGGGAGATTACCCACCGTCATCCTCCAGCTCTGCCTCTACATGTCGGGTTCAGGAGTTCCTTCCAACGCCCTTAGACCCTTCTAGTTGAGGTCAACAGCGTCCCATCCTTACTATATACAGCTTGGATTGTTCTCTTCATTCAGGGCTGGGTAGCCTTCCTTCCTCCTCTGTAAACGACTCGCTGTGCCCTCGCTGCGAGGGGGACCCAAGTTCCCATCAGCAAAACACGTGGGTTTGCTATCCTGGCTCCAAGATGGTGGAATGAGCTCCCCATTGACATCAGGACAGCAGATAGCTTGCACATCTTCCGGCGCAGACTGAAAACTCATCTCTTTCGACTCCACTTCGAGCGATAGAACTATTAACAAAGCACTTATATACCAATAAAGGACTGGCTTATCTAAAGCTAGTTGAGTAGCACTTGAAATGTTTGGCTCTATGAAACCTGATGTACTTATATGATTCTGTTTTCTTCAAGGTTGTGTCTTCCTGGTCGAATGTACTTATTGTAAGTCGCTTTGGATAAAAGCGTCAGCTAAATGCAATGTAATGTAATGTAATTGTTGATGGTGTCTTTTCCTTGCTCCTTCTCCCTTCGCATGGTTCCCTCTCCATGAATCCGCAATCAATTTACTACTATCACAAATAAACATCTTAAAAATATATTTTAAAAAGTCGTTTTGGCCCAGGGATAGGTCAGGCAGAAACCCTGGACCTGAATAGGTAAATATGAAGATTTTGTTGGACGAAATATTTTTTATAAATAATTCGTTTTTATAAAACAATTTTTCGGCTCCTTCACCTCTCTGGGGGGTAAGGAGCTGGAGCTTGTGTGGGAGGTGGAGCATTACCAGTTGGATCTGGTAGGGAGGCAGAGCGTTACCAGTTGGATCTGGTGGGTCTCACCTCTACGCACAGGCTCTGGAATCTTACTTCTTGATAGGGGTTGGACTCTATTTTTCTCCTGAGTTGCCCAAGGTGTGAGGCGCCGGGCGGGTGCGGGGATACTCACAAGCCCCCGGTTAGGTGCTGCTTCGTTGGAGTTTACCCCAGTGGACGAAAGGGTCGCCTCTCTATGCCTGTGGGTTATGGGGGGGGGGTGGGGGAACTCTGACTGTTGTGTGTGCTTATGAACCAAACAGCAGCTCAGAGTATTCGGCCTTGATCCCTGAAAATAGTCCTGTATGGGGCTCCTGAAGGGTACTCCATAGTCTAGCTGGGAGACTTCAACGCCAGGTGGGCAATGATGGGGACACTTGGAGGGGTGTGATTGGGAGGAACGGCCCCCCTGATCTGAACCGGAGTGGTGGTTTGTTACTGGACTACTCTGCTAGTCATGGAATGGCCATAACAAACACCATGTTCGAACATAAGGATGCTCATAAGTGTACGTGGTACCAGAGCACCAGGCAGAAGGTCCATGATTGATTTTGTTATCGTATCATCGGACCTGAGGCCGTATGTTTTGGACACTTGGGTAAAGAGAGGGGCGGAGTTGTCAACTGATCACCATCTGGTGGTGAGTTGGGTCGAGTAGCGGGGGAAGCCTCTGGATAGACCTGGTAAGCCCAAACGTGTAGTGCGGGTGAACTGGGAATGTCTGGAGGAGTCCCAAGTCCAGAGGCCTTCAACTCACACCTCCGGCGGACATTTTCAGGCATCCCTGTGGAGGCTGGGGACATTGAACCAGAGTTGGCGGTGTTCAAAGCCTCTATTGCGGAAGCCGCGGCGGGCAGCTGTGGTCTCAAGGTCTTAGGTGCCTCAAGGTAACCCTCGAACCTCCTGCTGGACAGCGGTGGTCAGGGAAGCCGTCCGACTGAAGAAGGAGGCCTTCCTGGATATGTTATCCTGGGGGAGTCCCGAGGCAGTTGCAAGGTACCGGCGGGCCCGAAGGACAGCAGCTTCAGCCGTGGCTGAGGCAAAGCAGCGATCGTGGGAGAAGTTCGGAGGAGCCATGGAGAAGGACTTTTGGTCGGCACCAAAGTTGTTCCGGAGAACCGTCCGACACCTCAGGAGAACCATCCAAGCTATGTACAGTAAGGATGGGACGCTGTTGACCTCAACTGAGGGTGGTCAGGCGGTGGACGGAACTCCTGATCCCCACAACTCCGCCCTCTATGTTAGAGGCAAAGCTGGAGGATGAGGGGTATCAACACCAATCTCCCGGGGGGAGGTCACTGAGGTAGTCAAACAACTCCACAGTGGCAAAGCCCTGGGGTGGATGAAATCCATCCAGAAATGCTGAAGGCTCTGGGTGTTGAGGGACTGTCATGGTTGACACGTCTCATCAACATTGCGTGGAAGTCGGAAACAGTACCGAAGGAGTGGCAGACCGGGGTGGTTGTTCCCTTTTCAAAGAATTACTCAGCTTTCCCGGGAAAAGTTTACTCTAAGGTACTGGAAAGGAGGGTTCGGCCGATTATCAAACCTCCGATTGAGGAAGAACAATACGGATTCCGTCCTGGTCGTGGAACAACGGATTTGACTCTCACAAGGATCCTGGAGGAGGCCTGGGAGTACGCTTATCTGGTCTACACGTGTTTTGTAGATTTGGAGAAGGCGTATGACCAGGTTCCCAGGGAGATACTGTGGGAGCTGCTGCAGGAGTATGGGGTGAGGGGGTCTCTACTCAGGGCCATCCAATTTCTGGATTCCCAAAGCGAAAGCTGTGTCCGGGTCCTCGGCAGTGAGTCGGACACATTTCCTGTGATGGTCGGCCTCCGCCAGACTGCACATTGTCCCCAATCCTGTTTGTGATATTCATGTACAGGATTTCGAGGCGTAGTCGTGGGGGAGGGGGTCTGCAGTTCGGTGGACTAAGGATTGCACCACTGCTTTTTGCCGCTGATGTAATAATAATAATAATACATTTAATTTATATAGCGCTTCTCATCTGCCAAGACAAATCTCGAAGTGCTTAACAACAAAGGATACTAATACACTTTGATAGATTGAACAAATAATTGTAATAATAATAAGAAATAAAAAAAATAAAATATAAAATATAAAATAAAGTACAAAAATAATGGTCGGTGATAGCGATAAAAAATGGCAGCACTCAAGGTGTACCATGCTCAAAGTTTATTGGAAGGCCTGCCGAAAGAAGAGGGTCTTAAGGCCGTTTTTGAAGACCTCGTGGAAGGGGCAGATCTCAGCTGATCTGGGAGGGAGTTCCAGAGGTGCGGGGCGAATGAGCAGAAGGCTCGGTCTCCCATTGTTCGGAGACGTGTGCGGGGGATGTAAAGAAGAGGAGCGTGGCTGGAGCGTATGGAGGACGGAACATGACTTAAGTATAAATAAATAAATGTATGAAGAAATACAAGAATAAATAAATAAATACGTAAATAAATAAATAAATACAGGAATAAATAAATACAGGAATAAATAAATGACGAAATAAATACAGAAATAAATAAATGTTGAAATGAATACACAAATAAATAAATAAAAGAATAAATGCATAAATAAATGCATAAATAAATATGGAAATAAATACATCAATGTATAAATAAATAAATAAAAGTCGAAAATAAAACAGAACACACGTTATTATATATCTTTCATTTATTTCTACATTTACGCGACATACATTTATTTATTTATGTATTTATGTGTCCGTATGCTAATGAGGTGGGCGGTCCTAACCTCAGTCTGAAGCAGGATTGGTTACAGGAGTGTGTGATCATTTCTGGCAGAGGGCTCTACTACTAACGCCTGGATAACCGCGCTGATTCGAATGCAGGAGCTTTACTGTTTAGCCCTTATCTTTATACATCCATGGTTTATCCACAGTTGTAAGGTTTATTTATGGATATTGATTTAAGAGCCATTGGAGATCATTTACGATCATTAGCGGACCATTTAGAGAACGGAGAACCAAAAGACTATGTCCAGTTTCGTGTGGAACGATGTATAGAGGACTTGGCTCAGCTCGACATGATAGAGGCTTCTCAATACTCAAATTTCCCCTCCTCGACTCCCCTCCTCGGTTCCCCTCCTCGAGACTTAGACCCGCCCACAGGAGATGCAAGCGGAGGACCGAGGAGGGGAACCGAGGAGAGAGGAGGGGAAGCAGCAGACGTTTAAAGAAATGAGAACTCCTCTCCTCTGAGCGGTCATTTAAAAGAGCCGTCCGTTCATTATTACGTGGCAACAGCTGCATCAGCTGTCGAGTGTTTTGTCATAGCGCTGTATCTCTGTTAGATCAGCTGAACATTGTTCCCCCACATATTTACTTTGAATTCATTGAGAGTGCGGTATAATGAGACAATAGCAGGCTACAGATGCGGACACACACACACAAATATATTTATATAAATATATACAATTTAAAGTATGAGAGCACTCTCATAATAACGTAACACAATCAGAGACTGGATATATCCCCCCCTCTCTCTGGTCGCTGAAATGGGGAATTGAAAGTACGGGCCAAAAGTTGTATTTACAAGTATTAAAAGTAAGCAGAGGACACCAAACCAACTGAGACCCGTCTGTCCGCCGCATTTACGCCCTGTACAACACACACCAACACACTGTACCACACACACACCTACACACTGTACCACACACACACCTACACACTGTACCACACACACACCTACACACTGTACCACACACACCTACAGCTCCTAAAGCATAAGCCGTTGTGTATTTTATTATGTGAAGTAATGGTCTGGAAACATCTGGACTCTTTGTTTGTAGATATCTACTAAACTAAAGCAAAGAGAGTCGGCCTGTTCTACTGAGTGATATATATTATACACACTGCTCGCGACGCGATGAAAGCAGTTTCTAATATAATATCCAGGGGATGCATGCAGAGCTGTCATTGGCTGAGATAAGTCCGGCCGTGCGTCACGCCTCCACCGTTCCCGGAAATGCATCCGTGGAGGAGCCGTGGAGGATACATCAGTGTATCCTCGGTTATAGCTCCTCCAGAGAGCCTCCTCGACGCTCGATGCTCGGTCCTCGGTGTGCATTTAGAGAAATGAGACGTCCTTCAAAATGGCGCTCTGAAATTCATTTCCGGGTCACTACCGGAGGACCGAGGAGTCGAGCAGTCGAGGAGGGGAAATTTGAGTATTGAGAAGCCTCTGATGTGACTTGCCACAAATCTATTGCTTCTGCCTGGCTCCAACAATTGGCGAATCCTGCTTCAGACTGAGGTTAGGACCGCCCACCTCATTAGCATACGGACACATAAATACATAAATAAATAAATGTATGTCGCGTAAATGTAGAAATAAATGAAAGATATATAATAACGTGTGTTCTGTTTTATTTTCGACTTTTATTTATTTATTTATACATTGATGTATTTATTTCCATATTTATTTATGCATTTATTTATGCATTTATTATTTTATTTATGTATTTGTGTATTCATTTATGCATTTATTTATTTATTTGTGTATTCATTTCAACATTTATTTATTTTTGTATTTATTTCGTCATTTATTTATTCCTGTATTTATTTATTCCTGTATTTATTTATTTATTTACGTATTTATTTATTTATTCCTGTATTTCTTCATACATTTATTTATTTATACTTAAGTCATGTTCCGTCCTCCATAGGAGCGGAGAGAGCGGGTAGATGTCTGGGTATGGATGAGGTCACAGAGGTATTTTGGGCTTTGTCCATTCAGGGCTTTGTACGTGAGGAGCAGAACCTTAAACTGGATCCTGTAGTGGACTGGGAGCCAGTGTAGTTTTGCAAGTATGGGGGTTATGTGTGCGGACCTTTTTGTACCGGTGAGAACTCTGGCTGTGCTGTTCTGGACAAGTTGCAAGCGGTTGATGGATTTGGCTGGGAGACCGGAGAGGAGTGCATTGCAATAGTCTAGTCTTGAGAAGACGAGTGCATGAACCAGTTTTTTGATGTCATCAGTTGAGAGTGAGGGCTTCAGTCGTGAAATGTTTTTCAGGTGAAAGAAGGAGGTCTTGGTGATGTGTTTGATGTGGGCTTGGAAAGACAGAGTGGGGTCAAACCTTACACCGAGGTTGGTGACAACGGAGGAGAGAGGAATGAGCTGACCATCAAGGGAGGGGCTGATGTTGGCCTTGGCAAGCTGGTCGGTGGTGCCTATCTAATGGCTTTATCGGTCTGCGACCTTCAGCACTCACTGGGCCGGTTCGCAGCTGAGTGTGAAGCGTCTGGGATGAGGATCAGCACCTCCAAATCTGAGGCCATGGCTCTCAGCAGGAAACTGATGGACTGTCCACTCCAAGTAGGAAATGAGTCCTTACCCCAAGTGAAGGAGTTCAAGTATCTTGTGGTCTTGTTCTCGAGGGAGGGAACAATGGAGAGTGAGATGGGCCGGAAAATCTGAGCACTGGGAGTGGTACTGCAGTCGCTTTACTGCAGTCGTTTTACTGCAGTCGTTTTACTGCAGTCGCTTTACGTTATGACGAAAGGAGAGCTGAGCCAGAAGGCAACGCTCTCTGTCTACCGGGAAATTTTCGTTCCTACCCTCACCTCGTCATGAAGGATGGGTCAAGGGCATCTCCCTTAGGGATAAGGTGAGAAGTTCAGTAATCCGGGAGGGACTCGGAGTAGAACCGCTGCTCCTTCACGTTGAAAGGAGCCAGTTGAGATGGGGAGGAGGCCACCTGGCCGCCTCCCTGTTCCAGGCACGTCCAGCTGGGAGGAGACCGAGGGGCAGACCTAGGACCAGGTGGAGGGATTATATCTCTACCCAGGACCAGGTGGAGGGATTATATCTCTACCCAGGACCAGGTGGAGGGATTATATCTCTACCCAGGACCAGGTGGAGGGATTATATCTCTACCCAGGACCAGGTGGAGGGATTATATCTCTACCCAGGACCAGGTGGAGGGATTATATCTCTACCCAGGACCAGGTGGAGAGATTATATCTCTTCGTCAGAGCTGGTTGATGTGGCCCGGGGAAAGGTACATGTGGGCTCTCTGCTGGAACTGCTACCTCCGCGACCCGACCACGGATACGCGGGAGAAGATGGATGGAAATAATAAATTCATGTCAATATTCTCATTTTATCATTATTGTCATTTTAAAACCGTTTTATGCCACAAATATAATGATACAACAACAGGTTAATAATAAGTGTACACCATTGCAAAAAGCAATTGACTGATCATTCTTAAGTATTAATTGTAATGTGAGAACTATTTCTGAAATATCTTTGAATAACGGTTACTGCGTTTCTTTACTGTACTCTACTGTGTTTTAACTGTACTTTACTTTTACTGTAATCTGCTTTGCTTCTTTACTGACTTCAAATGTGTTTCTTTGCTGTAAACAACTGTGATTATTCCTGAACTGCACTCATGTAGTTATTAAAGAACAGATTAGATAATCAGGTAACATAAACACTGAATCCTCTTCAGGTCAGTTTAGAGTAGAAACAGACTCTTACTCTGTGTCTGAGGGTCCAGGTTCATTACTGAAGTATAGAGGAGAGCCTTTAGACTGGTCACTCTTCAGAGACAGACAGCTGGAGAATGGAGACTCTGCTCTCTGTCTGTGGAAACAACACATGTTTTACACACATCATTAGTTCATTCAAAGAGCAGCTTTTTCACTGTCTGTTTAACCAATGAAATATTTTTAGACTTGTTCTGAGCTTTGTTTTTTTGGTTTGTGTTTGTGGGATGCTGTCATTCAATTCATTTGTGAAAGTTTTACATGTTTGTATTTTATTACCTTAACCCAACACAAAGTCCATCACGTTGAGTAAGATAACGATTTCCCCAGTAAATGATTTACTATTGCTGATGATGCCAAAGAGCAAGAGTTCAATTAAACTACTCTACTGTACTCTAAGATAGTGTATGTAAAGTTATAACATTACATTACATGCCATTTGTTAGACGCTTTTATCCAAAGCGACTTACATTCAGTACTGTGGACAATCCCCGCAGGAGCAATTTGAGGTCTGAGGGACACAACGACATGCTGACTGCAGTGGGACTCAAACTTGCTACCCCCTGATTCGAAGTCCAGCACTCTATCCACTGAGCCACAGCCGCCTTATAAAGTAAAGTTTATAGTAGAAACGGACTCTTACTCTGTGTCTGAGGGTCCAGGATCGTTAATGAAGTCTGGAAGTGTTCCTTTAGACCGCTCACTCTTCAGAGACAGACAGCTGGAGACTGGAGATCTGTCCTCTTCCTCATCTTCTCCACCTGAGAGATAAACCAGTAACACTGGAGACACACTTTATATCGATGATTTTGTTTCCTACATAGAGTACAACAGTAAATAATGAATGTGTTTAAAAGCAGAGCCTGGTGTTAACACTCACCCCGTTGTCCTCCTCCTCTCTGTCCAGGTGTAAAATGGTCGTCTGGCAGTCTGACTTCATACGTTCACTTTAACGCCCTCACCTGTCTGCAGCTCCTCCCCTTGTTTCATATCCAGCCTGATCAGAGGAAGGTGAACATACAGGGATTATATTCAGTAACATAGAAATAGAGATTCGGCAAGTAAACATCCTGCATTCAAAAACTCACTTCAGTAAAAAGGCTTTACTTCTGAACCCTGACAACTGTCAAACTCTTATCAAAATCTCCACTATCACTTCCACAAGATGGCGGAGAGACTGGTTGTGTGATTGAGAGGCTCTCCCAGGTCGGGCAAATTATCCCACTAAATGCAAATAACTCGACGTTTAAATTAAGGAATGAGTGGGGTAAAAACACGGAGGAACAGTACAAATCGTAAAGGACCAGGCAAAGTGAAAAATCAACCTACAATGAATGAAACCCCCGAGCACGAGGCTAGCGAACACGACGGCTCAGATGCACTGCGGGCAGGCTTTGCCGCCATTAGCAAAGAAATGAAAGACCTTAAACTCGAACTACGACAAGAACTATCCACATTCAAAGACGAAATAAAGAAGGAGCTGAGGGAGGACATCACTTATCTGCGACAAGAACTCGACCGTAAACTTACGGAGAACAACAAAGAGCTGCAGGCGCAACGGGTGAGCATAGCCGAGGCGCAGGAGCGCATATCAGATGTGGAAGAGTGGAAGACGGAGGTGAATGAAGTGATGTCGGTGATGATGGAGCAGACTCGATTGATGCAAGGAAAATTGACTGATCTCGAGGGGAGATCGAGGAGAAACAACATCCGAGTGTTTTGCTTACCCGAGGGCACGGAGGGGAGCTCCACAGCCAAATACATGGAGTCACTTCTGAAAACCGAACTCGAAATACCCGAAGAAACTCGGCTCCAGATCCAGCGCGCTCACAGAGCACCGAGCCAAGGCTCTACTCCCAGATCAATCGTGGTGAATTTCCTCCAGTTCGAAATAAAAGAGATGGTTTTAAAGAAGGCTTGGCAGAAAAAGATACACGCAGGGGGCAAACAAATATTTTTCGACCACGACTATCCTACAGCTGTGGTCCAGAAGCGACGTGCATTTTCAGGCATTAAAAAAATGCTGAAGGAAAAGGGAATCCGTTTCCAGACGCCGCTCACAAAAATACGGATCCACTGGAACACAGGAGTGAAGACCTATGATAATGCCGGCGAGGATACGGAACCGGCTTGGGCGCGAGGACCCGCGGAGTGGAAACGAGTGGCGGGCAGAGGGCGCGGCCCCGACTCCGGCACAGCTGACCGCGTAAGAGAAAAGCCCGAAAGTTATCAGTGGAAGTCCTAACAAGTTTTACTGGAAGAAGGGCGGAACATCACGGATCAAAGAGGGCAAATTCAGGTGAGCTGCGGGTGGGAAACATAACGGATGTCTCAAGGGAGACTTTTTCTGATTCACTGAACTTAAAGACCTGAGATAACATTAAGAGTCCTGAATGGGAATGTGTAGGATTATATACCGGTTTCTTAAAATCACTACAAAGTAATAGACAACGATTGGGAGAGGTCGAGTGTTTTGAGTTGGACATGTCTAGACATTATGGAACCTCACAACAGAGGTACAGGTCTAGGGAGGGACCCCCGTCAACGATGAGGACTCCCCCTCCACCCTCCAACCGGGATTTGGGGAATGGACTATTTCCCCATGTTTGGAGGTCTTCTCTTTTTTGGGTTCAGTTGTGTGATGATGTTTCATTAGTTTTTTGTGTTTTTTATGTTTTTATTAGTGTCAGAAGGATAAAGGTAACCTCAGAGAAGGGTCCAGATGATATTTAAAGATCTGAAAATGGTGTCGCTTAATGTGAACGGGTTAAACAATCCAGTAAAAAGGGCAAAGGTTATAGCTAAACTAAAACAGGAAAAAACACAGGTTAACTACCTACAAGAAACACATCTTACAGAGCAAGAGCATGAACAACTTAAAGAGATGGGATTTAAAAATATATTTTACAGTTCATATAAAGGTGGTAGTAGGCGAGGAGTATCCATACTATCAAATACAACAAAGTTTGAGCTTCTTAAGGAAATACGAGATAAAGAAGGGAGGTACTTGTCAAGGGGAAAATAGAAGACGAATTGACCACATTAGTTATTGTCTACGCCCCTCCTGAAAGCAAAACAGATTTTTACAGGAATCTATTTGAGCTTTTTGCCCAGGAATCGGAAGGTATATTAATATGTTCGAGAAAGATCTCCTGAACTTCCCCACTCAATCTATCAAGACCCGAGCAGTTCTACCAGAAGTCCAAGGTAAAGGCACAGGCCGGCGCATACCGCTCATGGAATCCCTCACCATATAAACTGAAAGTGAAGAGACACCATGTGTCAGCTCCTTTTTAGAATAGTATTTCTTCTCTTCTCTGAGAAACAAGGGTATGAAAAGAACAGCCAGAAACAGAGGAAGAGAGGCAGAACGTGACTACGTAAATGCACTCCTAAATATTAAACGAGTAAGAGGTGAAGAAACACAAAGCCAGAAATTGAAATGAAAAGGCACCATCATGCTTCCCTTTAGAATAGGGTGGAAATTATGAAAAGGGGACAGGGGATACTAGTGAAGAGGGACAACAGTGAAAAGGCCCAATGTATCTAACGTACAAGCACTCTCCAAAGAGACAGAAAGTTAAAGTATACGCCGAGAGGCACAACGTGACTACGTAAATGCACTGTCCTGTATAAATTAGTTCAAGGGAAAGGGGGTGAAAAACTAAACTAATCAAAAGAAGGAAGTAGAGAGGCCTAAATGCCCTCTCCTAGATTCAGTTAAAGGAAAGAACTGGGGAACAAACAAGTACAGGAGGAAAGGCCCAACGAGTCAACGTCAACACACTCTCCTAGAATAGTTCAAGGTAAACGAGGTAGGAAGAATATAGTAAGAAACAGAGCTGAAAAGGCTTTCCCTCTAGTCCAGGGTGAACATGGAGGATAATAAACAGAGATAGAGAGCACAACAACCTATCTCTCCCCCGCCTGGATAAGCGACTCTGTACCCCATCCCCCTCTACCGGACCTTAGATCCGCAGAGGGAGAGGGGAGGGACCAACCCCAAAAGGGGTTTAGGTTTTTTTTTAAAACCCGCAGAGATCCAAAAATGGATGAAGAAGTAATTACAAACGGTTTATAAAACCAAGAGGTTTTAACATTACAATGAATCACAACCTGGATTCAACTAGCTCTAGGAAAAGTAGTAAAACAAAATTGTCCAAATATAGACGTACTGCATTGGCAGAATTGGGAATAGTAGACATTTGGAGAGAACTACATCCACTCGAAAAGGATTACACTTTCTACTCAGCTCCCCATTTAGTCTATACAAGAATAGATGACTTGTTCATTAATGCAGGGGACCGATTCAGAGCAAAGGAATGCAGAATAGGAGTTGCAGATGTATCAGACCACGGCACTTTATACCTGACGCTGAACTTAAATAAGCAGACAAGACAGACAAATTGGCGACTTAATGTTGGTATCTTGAACGATCCAGAATTTGTTGAGGGGGTCAAAAAGCTAATTAACAAGAAGAGAATGATAATGGGGAGGTCGGCCCAACCATCGTCTGGGATGCTTTAAAAGCAGTCATGCGTGGGGAGCTAATTTCAAGAACGGTATACCTGAAGAAAATGAGGCTCAAATTAAACCAAAATAAGATTGGAGAATTGAGAACTTTAGAGCAGCAACATGAAAACTCTAATGACCCAGAACTACTTAATCAAATTAAAGAAATAAGGAAAACAATTAATGAGATATTAGAGAATGAGGTAGAAATGAAATTGAGATTTGTGAAACAAACGTATTACGACGCCGGCCCCAGAGCATCAAAACTGTTAGCCAGACGAATAAGGGAAAAACAGCAGCAGAATGCAATCCACAAAATCAGGGACCCCAAGAGTAACACATTGGAATCTGAACCAGACAAGACAGAAAAGATATTCGAAAACTACTACAACAAACTATACTCACAGCCAGCTGCAGCAGGGGAGGAAACAATTCAAACATTTTTTGACTCTCTAGACCTGCCAGCAATAGGGAGGGTACAACATAATATCATGAATTCGGATATCACAGGAAAATAACTGGAGGAGGCAATTAATCATTTAAAAAATAATAAGGCACCAGGAAGTGACGGGTACCCCTCTGAATGGTACAACATGTGTAAAAAGGAACTTATTCCGTTGTTACTAGCATCATTCAACGAAACTATAAAGAAGGGGATAATCCCCCCATTGTGGAAAGAGGCCATAATCACTGTTATCCCTAAAGAGGGAAGGGACAAAGAATTCTGCGAACATTATAGGCCAATATCAATACTGAATTGTGATTATAAGATCTTCACAAGAATAATCTCTAAGAGAATCTAGAATTTCATGACAGAACTGATATACGAAGATCAATCAGGATTTATCAAGGGACGTCAAAACACATGATAATATAAGAAGAACATTACATGTAATTCAAGAAGTAAAGGGAAAGGGGGAGAGTGCATTACTCCTAAGGCTTGACGCAGAAAAAGCATTTGACAGCGTTAGCTGGAAGTTTCTCTATCTCTGTCTAGAAGCATTTGGCTTTAGTAAAGAATCGATCAACTGCATTAAATCACTTTATCAAGGTCCTATGGCAAGAATACAAATAAATGGCAACCTTACAAATTGGTTTAAGCTAGAACGATCTACCAGGCAGGGGTGCTGCCGTCCCCTACTCTATTTGCAATCTTTATTGAGCCCTTAGCTCAAGCAATTAGACAAGATGAAGGAATAGAGGGGGTAGTGATTAAAGGCACAGAACACAAAATAGGACTATATGCTGACGACATATTGATCCACCTGACGCAGCCAGATCGCAGCCTTCCACAACTTATGAAACTACTTGATTCATACGGCCATCTCTCATGCTATAAGCTCAATGTAGGAAAAACCCAGGTGATGGCTATCAATTATACCCCATCCCTTCCTATTCAACAAGCATACAGACTCAGGTGGAGCGCAAAGGCAATACACTATTTAGGTGTGAATATAACAAGTGACCTAACAACACTAAATTAAG